TCAATCAATAAATGGGATGGTATCAAATTAAAAAGCTTCTTCATAGCAAAGACAACAATCAAGAACATGAAGAGAGAGTCCATAGGATGGGAAAAAATCTTCATTACCTGCACCGCAGATAGGGCATTAATGTTCAGGATATCTAAAGAACTCAAAAAACTCAACACCAAAAAAACAAATAACCTAATCAGTAAACGGGCTAAGGAACTGAATAGACACTTCTCAGAAGAGGATATACAATTAATCAACAAATATATAAAAAAAATGTTCAAAATCTCTAGCAATTAGAGAAATGCAACTCAAAACTCTAAGATTTTACCTCACTCCTGTCAGAATAGCAGCTATTAAGAATACAAATAACAATAAGTGTTGGTGAGGATGTGGGGAAAAAGGCACATTCATACATTGCTGGTGGGACTGCAAATTGGTGCAGCCAATCTGGAAAGCAGTATGGAGATTCCTTGGAAAACTTGGGAATGGAACCACTATTTGACCCAGCTGTCCCTCTCCTCAGTTTATTCCCAAAGGACTTAAAAACAGCATAATATAGGGACACAGCCACATCAATGTTTATAGCAGCACAATTCACAATAGCTAAATTGTGGAACTGTAGGTAGGGGTTCTGTGTTTGGGACTGGGGTCCCTGATGACTTCATGGCTGTGGCATGCTTGGTGCCTAGGAAAGTTTCTGTGCAAAGGCATAGGATGCCCGGTTGCTATGGCAATGCCCTCCATGTTAGAATCTTATCAGGTTTGACCTTAATCTTAGGTACATAACTCCTGGGAACAAAGGAACTTGCTTGCTTGATAACTACAATGTTTTACCAAGCTCCAGTGCTCCTGAAGCTGCCTGCCTAACAGTAACTTCAGACAATGGACCTTCTTAAGAACTGCACAAAGCTCCTAACATTGCATATTGTAACTATGAAATGTAACTGCAGAATAAGCAACCTTACTGCTACTCTAAACAATAAAGTGGTTATGGTACTAATGACCTAATGTAACCTATTGGTGTAAATAAAGGTGGCCGCTTGGACAAAGAGCCACTCTGCCACCTTCTCTGCCCCTGCACCTTGTCTCTGTGTCTCCTTTCTTTGAGACTCTTTACGGGTAACCAACCAAGATGCCCTTTAGTAGATGAATGGATAGGGAAAGTTTGGTATATATACACAATGGAACATTACTCAGTATTAAAAGAGAATAAAATCATGGCATTTGCAGGTAAATGGATGGAGGTGGAGAATACAATGCTAAGTGAAATAAGCCAATCCCCCAAAACCAAAGGCTAAATGTTTTCTTGGATATGAGGATGCTGACTCATGATGATGATGGTGGGGGAGGGCATGGGAGGAATGGTGAAACTGTAGATAGGGCAAATGGGAGGGAGGGGAAGGGAGGGGGTAGGAGGGTCGGAATGACAGTGGAATGAGTTAGACATTACCCTAAGTACATGTATGAAGACACGAATGGTGTGAAAATACTTTGTGTACAACCATGACTTGAAAAAATGTGCTCTATACGTGAAATATGAAATGAACTGCATTCTGCCATCTTGTAAAACAAATAAGAATAAATAAATAATTTAATTAAAAATTATAAAAAGAATGACTTTGTGACATTAGCTGGTAAATGGATGGATCTGGAGTCTATCGTGCTAAGTGAAATAAGCCAATCCCCCCCAAACCAAAGGCAGAATGTTTTCTCTGATGTGGACACTAACACAATGAGAGGGGAGGAACAGAAGTTCATTGGATTAGACAAAGGGAATGAAAGGAAGGGAAGGGGATGGAAATAGGAAAGACAATAGAATGAATTGGACATAACTTTCCTACATTCTTGTATGAACACATTACCAGTGAAACTCTACATCATGTACAACCACAAAATGGGCATATTTTCCATATATATATATATATATATATATATATATATATATATGAGAATGATGTGGCAAAATATATTCTACTATTTTGTCTATCTTAAAAGAACAAATAGAATTTTTTTTTTTTTTTAAATCCCATAGCTCCTAATTAAAGGAGAAAAGATTTGTGCTCATGTCTGTCCTGGAGCAAGCTGGGAATATTTCCACAATACCATCTTGGAAGCTTCAAGCTTATGCCCTGAGGGTAAACTACTTGGACAGACTGCTGATCTTGTCTCTCAGATGTTGATTATTCCAGTTTTACCCTCATGGGATAAACTTATTTTAAAATATGCAAATGCCCTTTTTATTTATGTATTTTTTTGCTTTGCTGACTAGTTATAAAATACAACTCCATTAATGTCATGGGAGAACAAAAGGAAACAATTATGAAAAAGCGAATTCTATTCCTGTGATCAAGCTTTGTGAGACCACTGTGGCCCCCACTGGCTCCCACGCCTTATTCTGTCTCTGCTTCCTGCTCTCTAAGGCTGTTGGCCTCTGGCTGCCATCTTACTTTGACCTAACTACAGGAAAGCACAGATGAGTTTGGACTTCACCACATTTGGACTCTCTTTCCTGTGTGAGAGCTGTGTCTCACTTAAGTGAAACATAGACGATGATGAATGACACTTGTGTACTAGAAGTACCACAGACCACATGGCCTTCAATATCAGGAATTTATCATCTCTCAGTTCTGGAGGCTGGGAGTCTGAGATCAAGGTTTGACAGGATTATTTTCTTCTGAAGCCTCTCTCTTTGGCTTGTAGGTGGCCATCTTGTGTCTTCTTCACATTGTATATGAATTAGTACGCTTAGGCTGCCATAACAAATATCACAAACTGAGTGACTTAAGCAACAGAAATTCATTTTCTCACAATTCTTGTGGCTGGAAGTCCAATATCAAGGTGCCAGCATATTTGGTTTCTGGAGAAGGCTTACTTATAGGAGGCCTTACTTATGGTGTCCTCAAAGATCTGATTTCTTCTTCTTATAAGGACACTGATCCCCATCCTAAGTGCTCTATACTGTGACCTCATCTAAACCTAAATTTCCCAAGGTCTCACCTCTGAATATGATCACAGTGGGTAGTTAAGAGTTCAACAGATGAATTTGGAGGAGTGAGTCTACAAAATGTCTTTTCTCTCTACCAATATGCATTCAAATCTCCTCTTCTTATAAGTATACCAATCATATTAGATTGGGGCCCACTCCCAGTGACCTCATGTAACCTTGGTTACCTCTATAAAGGGCCTATGTCCAAGGACAGTCCTATTTTCGAGTACTGGGAGTTAAGATTTCAACATGCAAACTCCAGGGGGAAGAAAGCAGCCACCACAGTGCTGTAGGTGAAGAGATTTTTCCAGGCCTACCATTACTGCACCTCCAATGCCCACATACACTCAAGGACTCACCCAGATTGGGCAGATGTCTACCACCTCCACCCTCACTCCCAGCAACTTGTTATTATGAAAATGTTCAAACATACAGAAAAGTTGAAAGGGGGTGACAGTGACCACCTGTATGCTCACCACTCAGGTGTAATCATTGTAGACGCTATGCTATCTATATTTTATCTCTATATGTTCATTTTCTTCACCAAAAATGTTTGAAAATAATTTTTTTGTGTGCATTTCATCCCTAAATACTGCAATATTCAGCTTCTAAATATAACCACAGTGCCATTATCACACATAAGAAAATTCACAATAATTTCCTAATGTCATCTAATATCCAGTGCATATATAGATTTCCCCAATTGTGTTCAAAGTATATTTTACGTGCTTCTTTTTTTACTTCAGAATTGTTCCCCTATACTTTTTTTTTTTTTAATACAGGGTGTCTCTATGTCACACAGGCTGGCTTGAGCTCCTGGGCTTATATGATTCTCCTGTCTCAGCCTCCCATGCAGCTAGGATTACAGGCACATGCCGCCATGCTGAGGTCCCATTATTTCTTTTTACATTGAATTAAAAAAAAAACGGTTATCTTTTTTGTTTGTTTTGTTTAGAATATCCCATATTCTGGATTTTTCTGATGGTTCTCTTGTTGCACCATTTAATCTTCCCTCTTTTGATTTTCTCTAAACTGAGCTTTCTTGTCTGGGGCCCCTTAGCTGAATTATAGAACGTAGCAATGTAAAATCACTCTCTGATCTAGAACCTTTCTAGTCACACACAAGATAAGTATTTTGTTACAAACAAAGGATACATTGATGGTTAATTTTATGTGTCCACTTGACTGAACTACAGGGTGCCCAGACACTTGGTCAAATCTTATTCTGGGTGTGCCTTTGAGTGTGCTTCTGAGTGAGATTAACACTTGAATCCATAGACTAGGTAAAGCAGGTGCCTTTCCTATGGTGGGTGAGCCTTATCTCCTCAGTCAGTGGCTTAAACAGACAAGAAGGCTGACCCTCCTAAGAGGAAGAGAGAATTCTTCCTGCTTGCTGGCATTCAAGCTAGGCTATCATCTCTCCTGGGTCCCTGGCCTTCAGACTTGGACTGGAACCTTACCATTGGCCCTCTTGGGTCATCACTTGCCCACTGCTGGACTTGGGACTTCTAGCCTCCAAAGCAGTGTGATCTAATTCCTTATAGTAAATCTCTGTCACTATCATACTTCCTATTTGTTCTGCTTCTCTGCAGAACTCTAACACAGTTGCCTTAGGGCATGAAAGCTTGTTTTGCTCCCAGGATCTGGTTGGGAAATTAAAGTACTCAGATTAAGGTTAAGCATTTGGGGTGAGAACTTTTCATATCATATGACATCAGGAAGCAATATTGTCTTGGAGTTATTAATGATGCTAAATTGGTCACTTAATCCCAGATTTTTATTTTACTTTTTTTCCTCCTGTGAATTAGCAAGTCATCATGTGAGGCAGTATTTGGCACTATGCAAATATCCTGTTTCTCAGCTACTTTTCCCCAGTGGCTTTTGGTACCCACTGACAATCCTTGCCTGAGTCGATTTTCCACCCAGAAATTAAAGCTTAAGAAAGTTTACCCCTCGTAAGGCTCATGAATTGCTTAACGTATAGGAATTAATATCCACAGTAGGATAAAGTGAAATCCCTCACCATTAGAAGACTTTCTCCTCCCGGGAAATCTTCTAACTTAACTTCTCAGTCTGTGGAGACCAGGCCTGGCTGGCTGGTGTCCTGCTGCCTGGAAGGTAAACACCGGAAGAGCATTTTGTTATCATTGGTTGCGGTTCTGAAAGCAAGGATCAGAACCCTTCAGAGGTAGGAAAGTGCCAAAGTAAAATCAAAGTCAGTAAACAGATCTAAAATAGTAGCAGGACACACTGAAGAAAATCTGTAATGCAGAGGGCCTAGCAGACATGAGGGAATCAGAGCAGGTGAGATGAAGAAGCTCCGCCGCACTCTAGCAGAAGGGGGGACTCCTAGGGGACTGTTTGAAGGGGAGCTCTGTTCTCCAGGCAAATGCGTGTTAGGGTGGAGTGGGGCCAGGGAGAGTGGAACGCTCCTGGGCCAGGTTTAGGGGAAGGGGTAGGTGAGACCAAAGGATGCCTGAGGATGCAGCGTCCAGGTGCAAGTTAGGCTGAGGTCTTGCCAAATTCCACCCAAGCAGAGAGGAGGGCCAAGGGCTTCTAGGAGCCAAGGAAGGTCAACAACTCTCACAGTGGGTAGGAGGGACTTGGCATGAATGGGGTGGGGAGAAGCAATGGAGTATTGGGGAGCCAGAGGAGGGAGCGCCCACAGTTCCAGAAGGAATCATGTAAACATGGGGGATCCAGCAAAGCATGGCTTCTGTGTGCAAACCCAGGAGTCCGGCTGTTCTGGGACTCCCAGGTGGGCTGGGGCCTCCAGCACCTTGCTTCTCTCCCCTCCCCCACAGCAACACTGGGGTCTGCAGGGACTCGGGGCGGCACATTGCTGGAGCTTGTGGGACCACAGGGCAGCAGCCTGGCTCTGTATTCTGCTATTCCACTTGACTTCTCTGCCCCTTGGAGGGCCATTTTCCTGCTGCCCCAGTAAGTGTGGAAGGAGCTTCCTGTGGCTTCCCCATTACCTTAGCATCTCAGCACCTGGAAGAGATTAGTATCACTGGCAACCCGCAGAGCTCATTGTGCATTTCCTCTTCAATGTGATTTGTTAGGGAAAAAAAAAAAAGGCGGAATGAGATCAGTTCCCGCACTTTCCCTGGAGATCTGTGTAAAGTCTACCGAGCAGTGTCCATTTATCACTACCCTGGGGTTTCCTGTTTTGAACCTGACCTGTTCTTGGCAGGCTCTCCCTCCTTGTTTCATCACATTAAAGACTGAGGCAGACTCAGCCCTCTCTCTTTCCCCTCCCTCCTCTCTGTTCCCTGCCCTGCTCCTGAGTGTCACGCACAGACTAGACTCAGCCCTCTGCAGAAGGGTGGGACGGGAGGGGCCCGTTGTCAGACCCCCACCTTTGGTCTCTGCGTCATCCTCTCCCCTTTCTTTCCTAGATAACATTTGATGCAAGGTGGGAGACCACCCCTTCATGTTCAGGGGAAAAGCAGAGGAAATGCAGTCATGTGACACAGGCCCCGCCTGGTGTTTTTATAGATAGACACATCCTCAGCACGGGCTCTGGGTTGCAAAGGGCTAGCAGATCAAGTTCAAGCAAACACCTGGCCAGGCCTCACTGTTGGGGAAAACAATAGGGGGAACTGGCCATTAAATGGAAGTACAACGCTGACCGCTCCTAGAACACTAGCAGGCCTGGGTAGGTGGGGGGAGGTTTATGAATTCATTTTTCCCTTCATGGCTAAGTCATGATCATCTTCTGACCACTGTATGCTTTAGACTGAATTGTGTTCTCTGTTCCTCCAATTTCATATATCAACGTCCTAATCCCCAGTGTGACTTTATTTGGAGACACAACCCATAAGGAGAAAATCAATATTGAATGAGTCCTAAGGGTGGGAGCCCTGATCCCATAGGATTTGTGTCCTTAAAAGAAGAGACGCCAGAGAGCTCCCCTCTCATTCGCTTTCCTTCTGCTGTGTGAGGACAGAGAAGAAGGCAGCTGTCTGCAGGCCAGGAAGAGAGCCCCCATGGGGACCCCAATCAGCAGGTACCTTGATCTGGGACCTTCCAGCCTCCAGAACCTTGAGGAGTAAATCTCTGCTGTTTAAGCCACAGGACTGTGGTATTCTGTTATGGCAGTCCAAGCCGACTGGGACACCACATGAAGGTTCTTGTTGACCCTAAAGCCCTCTTGTCACCAAGCTGCTCCAGGTAATGGAAGTAATTCCATGCCCCCTCCAGTTTCTGATACAGGTATGCCTCACTTTAGGGAAGGTTCACAGCCAAACCTCCATGACAAATGTCAGGATGATTATTGGATATCGACCAGCAACCCTCCCGCACTTCTGACAGTGCAGACTGAAGGTGAGCACCTGATACAGGCCACCCAATCACAATGCCCCATTTCCCTGCACGTGGTGGCAAGAACCCCGGAGACCGAGCACAACTAAATGGTTGCAATTTAAAAGCAGCTATGGCAAGTCTGCCGGGCGCCCACTCCAACAGTCATTTGTATCTTATTCCTTCTATTGTAGTAAAATTCATATAACAAAATGTACCATTTTAACACTTGAAAGTGTTCCTCGGCATTTAATCCTTTCACAAGGTTGGGCCACTGTCACACTCTCTAGTTTCAGAGCATTTTCCTCACTTACAGAACTCTGACTTTATTCAGGGTTGCAATGCTGCCTGCCAGCTGGAAGACCCATTTCTCAACTTCCCTTGCAGCTAGGTGTGGCTTTGTGACTAGATTCTAGCCAGTGACATGTAACAGAAGTATGAGGGACTCTTAGAGAAGTTCTTTAAAAGAAGTGAGAACCCTTTTCCTCTCTTCTGCAGGGGGCTGTGGCAGCCGTTACAGGCCAGGGAGTTTTTGCAAGGCTGAGGATAGCACAGCAGACAGACAGGAGCCCAGGTCCCTGAGAACATGCAGAGCTGGCTCTGGGGTGCTTACACGTGACAAATAAAGAAACCACTTGTTTAAGCCATTAGTATTTGGAGGTTTTCTGTTCTAAGCAGCTGAACCCTATTATAACTTCATCAGGAAGTGGATCCATTTTTTAAAATGATTCCTTTAGGATTCCCTTAAATATCAAACTCCACTGGGTCAAGTGGGGATTTGTTCTCCCCAAATCCATGTGTTGGGCTCAATCTGTTGCTTTGAACAGTACGGGGAGAGGGGTCTTCAGGGAGGTGTTTGGGTGTTAGGCAGCGTCCTCACAAATGAATTCATGGCATCAAAGGACTTGAGGGCATGTGGTCCTTTTTGCTCTTGGGCTTCCTGCCATGTAAGGACTCAGCAAGACGACAGAAGCCACCACCTTGATCTTGGACTTTTCAGCCTCCAGAACTGTGATTAAAGTTTTGTTCTTTATAAATTACTTGGTCTCAAGTATTTTGTTATAGCAGCACAAATAGACTAAGATGTGGTCAGTTGAGGCATGGAATCAGATGATGTGTGGGTGATCCTCCTGCATTGGAATCCAGGACAACCAGTGGCTTAGTAGTACAAGGAAACACCTCCCCTAGGATATGTGCCACCTAGGTTTAGGATAGGAACCAGGCAAATAATGGGTGCTGGGAGTCACTCTGATCTGCAACAGGGCATTGCTAGGCCCCACAGGGCCTGCTCCATCATCCTTAGATCCTCCCTCCCCACAGCTCTCTGGAGATAAAATTAAAACATGGCTACCATGTTTGGAAGACCTCCTGAGCCTCAGCTTTACATGTACTGTCTCATCATCCTCACAACAATTCCACAAGGAGATCCATTTTTCAGACGAGGAATGAAGCTTTTAGAAATTAAACGACTTGGCCTAGTCTCACAGCTGGTATGTAGCAGAGATGACACTGAACACAGGTTGGTCCCTCTAAATCCTGGGCCCTTCCCCTCCATGGTGCTGCCTCCTATCCCCGCCCAGAAACCAAGGTCGGCTGGGAGTGATGACAGTGATTCCAAGAGACAGCGCCCGCGCTGATTTCCCCCAGCAAGCCCCGCTGTGGGACTGCTTCTCGACTCTTCCTGCTGCACCCAGGCTAAAAGAACTCCAGGAGTCCATTAAGCAATCAGAGCAGAAAAACAGCACTTGGTCCTTGTCCTAGTTCTCTATTGCTGGGTAACAAACCACCCCAAAATGAAGAGCCTTAAACAACCACCATTTCACGTGGCTCCCGACTCTGGGCTCTGCTGGGTATCTTTGCTGGCCTCGCTGCTGGTCACCATGTGGCCACATTCACCCAGGGGCTGATTCTGCCAGAAAGAAGCCAGAATGCAAGGCCTTTCCGGAACCTTCTCTCACAGGCCAGCCAGACTTCTTACAGACAGCTCAGGGTTCCCAAGACTGTAAAACAGACTGGACCCCATTCCTACTTAAAAGGGGGCTAGCTATTCCCTCCGGTTTTCTTCAGCTCCTCATCTAGGAGTTTAGTGGAGAAGCCGGCCTGGGACACCTGCACCCTCAGTGTGGCCACCACAGGCTTCTTAAGGTGGACTACCTGCTGCCACGTTCTGCTGAGTAAAGCCAGTCACAGGTGCAGCCCAGATTCACACAGGGCGTGGGAGAGCCACCATGTAAGGGACTCCCAGTCCCATCGTGGTCTTGCCTTGTCTCTGCTGGAGATGGAGCTCTGAGCTCAGTGGCTGGGCGTCTTGTCATTCCATCTCTCTAACATACCTATTGCCTGTCTCCAGGTGACCCAAACCTTGACCACTAGAGCTTCCCCCGCCCCTCAACCCACCGACTCAGTGTAACGTGCAAGTGTGCCCTTGGTTACAGATGGCACCCTGGGTTGGCTTCTGTGATCCTCAGAGCGGCCCCGTGAGCTTACAGCCACCTTCTCCTTTCTGAAGACGTGGAAGCTGAGGCACAGAGCTGTTGAGATATTTGCCAGGGAGTCTGACTTCCAAATTTTCACCCTTGACCACTAAGCTTCCAGCCTCTTGCCGTAGCAAGACGGAAACCCTGCAGAAGAAGAGAGGAAGAAAGGACAAGGCCTGGGTTTATGCTGGGGACATGAACAACATGAAGGACACCAGAATCACGTGTGGGGAACAGGGGAGTTGCAGCAGCTGCCCTGCAAACCCGGAAGGCAGCAGAACAAACCCAGAGCTGCCTCGCTGAAATCTAGGGGGCACCGTAGCACAGACCACAAGGCCCCACAGCTGAACAAATGCAGATCTCCTCCCACTCCTGACCACAGATCCACAGCCAGGGGCGGGACTGCAGCAGCGTCCTGTGCATCCCCTGCACCACGTGGACATGCACACACAGGTGTGTTCACTGTGACGTTTTGGGGGGCTGACCTCAGTGTGACCCAGTCCCAGCACAGCTTTCCCTTCCACCCACAGGCGTAATCCGTCTGATTCCCCTTCCCTGCCTCCCAGTGCCATGTCAGGGGGATTGCACCAAGGTCACACTTACTTTCAGTTATTAGAAATGTCCCACATACTTATTAGAAATGTCCCACATACTTATTTAAAAGTAGGTTAAAACTTGGAACTAATCCAATTCCAAGGGTCTCCCCTCCTCCCGGCTCCAGGCAGGATGGCCCTGCAGCCCCCAGCAACGGGTCAGGGCATGGCCTGCTCTCCTGACTCCTTTTCCCTCCTCCACCCTGCCCTGAAGAGCCACACGGCACCAGGCGCTCTCCTGGGATGGGGAGGAAGGAGGAGCTGTGTGGAAAGGCCTCTTCTTGGCTTCTGCTGTCTGTCACTGGCTCTCAGAGCTGGCTCAGGTGCTGCCTGCCCAGCTGCCACAACAGAATGCCGCAGACTGACTCAGGCAACAGAAACGACTTTTCTCACAGCTCTGGAGGCTTTTAGTCTGAGGGCAAGGTGTCAGCAGGGCTGATGTCATCTGAGGCCTCTCGCCTTGGCTTATAGGTGGCCACCTTCTTCCTGTCTCTTCATCTCCTCCTCCTCCTCCTCTTTTTCCCCCCCAGTGCTGGGGATGGAACCCAGGGCCTCACCCGGGGCTAGGCCAGCGCTCTACCACTGAGCCACACCCCCAGCCCTCCCGGTGTCCTCTGACCATCTCTTCTCTCCAGTGGTCTGTGTCCCCATCTCCTCTTCCTACAAGAACACCAATCACATTGGATTAGGACCCTCCCTTTAACTTAGTCACCTCTTTAATGACCCTGTCTCCAGTACAACCCCATTCTGAGGCTTAGGACTTGGACATATTAAATTGGGGGAAGTCACAATTCAGATCATATCCCTGACTCTCACGGAAACCATGTGGGATTTCTGGAGGCACCCCCCTACCCCCACCCCTACCCCCCAGACCCCTGCCTGGCACTGTCCCTGAGGCAGTGCGGTGCACCAAGCCTGGGTTAGCCTCAGTGGCTCCTCAGCTCCAGCCTGGGTAGCCCATCCCTGGGATTCCTGACGTGGCATAGCCTACCCTCGGCTCCCACCCCCAGCACACTCTGGAAGAGCAGCTGCCTCCCTGCTGACCTCCTCCTGTTTCTGAGGGGCCTCACTAGCCCACCTCCGCCCTCAGAATCCACTTAGGCTGCAGGTCTCTGCCTTCCTGCTCACCCAGCCCACCACTAGGACACACTCATCAAGACCCAAGAACCCACTTTGGTCCTATGGCAGCATCAAGGCTTGGGATTCCGACACTCGGTGATGACTTAGTCAGGGTGGAACATTCTGGGCTCGCTATGGATGCACACACCCACTTTCTGTGACTGGCTCTCACATGCCCCTCCATCTTCAGGGAAGCCCAAGCTTCTCTAATTCCACAGGGAGGAAATACTTCTCCCTCTAAAGAATCCCTGGCCTGCCTTTTTAGAGGTGGGAGGTAGATGATGGGTTAAAGGTGCAGGAGAGACTAGCTAGCTGTTAGGGAACCTGGCAGGAAGAATCTAGACTCTCAGGGAGTACGCAGATTTATCTCCCATCTTCTTCATTTGGGAGACACTACTGAAAACTCGAGGCACGTTTTTTTACATGTGTGCATACTTCCTAACATCATCCAGAGTAGCACACCATGTAGATTGTTCTCAATTTTGTTCTTTAACTATATGTTGGAGATTATTTCAGCTTACTACATAGAGCTGCCTCAGTCTTTTTAATGTCCTCCCTGGAGTTCATTCAACCCAATCCTCTATTGGTTGGCTGGTTGCTTCCAAACTTTTGCTATTACAAACAATACTGCAACAAATATCCCTGTATCTGCATGTTTTTTCTATGTGTTTATCAGTTGGGTGAAATTTCTTTGACAAAGTGTATGTGCATTTGTTATTTGATAGGTACTGACCAATTGTTCCTCCCAGAGGTTGAACCAATTTGCATCCCCATCAATAATGCCTGAGCCCATCTATTTTCCCAACACAACAACAAAGCATTATCAAATTTTGCCAAACTGACGGGCAAAAGAAACTTTTATTGTATTTCCAATTTGTATTGAGTTAGAGTGAGTAGCTTTCCTCTTGATTGAGGGCAGTGTGTATTCTTTCTACTAAACGTTACAGCCAGGTAAATTAGCACGGTGATTAGGACTGCGACTCTGAAGCTGCTGGAACACTAGGTTTGAGTCTCAGCCTCGCTGCTCATTGGCTGTGTGGCCTTAGGCAGGTTGTTTGCCCCTTCTGTGCCTGGCTTCCCATGGGCAGTAGCAGTATATACCCACAGAGTCCGAGTTGTGAGAATTAAAGATGTTGGGGCATCTAGAAGGTTCCATAAGGCATGAAAAAGTGCTGTGTGGTGCAGACATTGGTGTTGTCCCGTGTGTTCCCATTTCCAGGACAGCGTGGCAGTTCTTATGTATGCATCAGAAGTATTAGTCTTCTAATCATGACGGCAGCTATGCGTACATTCCATAGAGGGGTCTATTCACTCACAGGCTAGTCCCAGGTACATATTTCTTACACTATCAGTGACTTTGTTTTTAGCAATGTAGACATTTTTAATGCGGTTAAAAAATATATAACATAAAATTTACTATTTAAGCCATTTTTAGGTGTACAGTTCCATGAGATTCAGGACCATAGACCGTTCACTTTTGTGTTGTCAAATTTCTCAAAGTTTTCTTTTATGATTTCCCAGCTTTACTTCATTTTAAAAGATCTTCTCACATTTTTATGGCTTCAGTTTTTACCTTTTTTTTTTTTTTTTTTTGAGACAGGGCCTTGCTAAGTTGCTTAGGGCCTCCTCGTGAAGTTGCTGAGGCTGGCTTTGAACTTGCCATCCTTCTGTCTCAGTCTCCCATGCCACTGGGATTACAGGCATGCGCCTCCGCACCCGGTAGTTTTTCCATTTTAATATCCATTAGTTTGCATTTTACTTTAGGTTTTGATGTGATGAAGAGATCTGGTTTTCTCTCCAGGTGCTAGCCAGAAGCCTCAACACCAATTGTTGAATGGTGAGGTTCCCAGAGTCTACCACAGATTATAAACTAAATTCCTGCTTATAAACTCAATTCCTGCATATATTCCATAGTGGTGTCTATTCACTCACAGGCTAGTCCCACATTTTAATAATCAGGTAGCTTTAAACTTATTTAAATACCTGGCAAAGTTAGTCCCTTACTACTCTTTCTAGAAATCTCTGGTTGCTTTTCCAGGGAAACTGGAGCCCCCCTCCCCCCACCCCGCCACTGGTCCTCAGGGTTGGAGCACACCTCTGGGCCAGGTGTCAGGCCCAAGAACCCCAACCACATCTCCTGAATCCATGAGCCCATCCAAGGCACCAGGTCAGATGTGGTTTCTGTCCAAATGTCCACACTAGACAGGCACGCTTTCTTTGTTTTTATATTTTACCCCCTTAGTGTTAAAATAACCCAATTCACACACACACACACAAACACACACACAAAAAAAATAGAATTTTAAATGACCGTAATTGCCTGACCCAGAAATAAGTAATATTTTTGTACATTTTCTTCCAGTTTATTTTTCTAAAAGTATTTCTGTTTGTCCTTTCAAAAACCATATTCACGGGCTGGGGTTACAGTTTAGTGGTAGAGTACTCACCTAGCATGTGTGAGGCACTGGGTTCAATCCTCAGCACAAGATAAAAATAAATGAATACAAAAAATTATTGTGTTCATCTACAACTAAAAGTATTTCTAAAACATATTTATCTTAAACTTCACTGCATATATGAACATACATTGTCTTAAAAAGAGATAATTCAGGGCTGGGGTTGTGGCTCAGTGGTAGAGTGCTTGCCTCACGTGTGTAGGTCCTGGGTTCGATTCTCAATACCACATATGAAAATAAGTGAATAAAATAAAGGTCCATCAACAACTAAAAAAAAAAACTATTTAAAAAAAAAAAGGAGACAATACAGGGCTAAGAGTATGGCTCAGTGGTAGAATTCTTGCCTCACGAATGGGAGGCACTGGGTTCGATCCTCAGCACCACATAAAAACAAAATAAAGGTATTGTGTCCATATACAACTAAGATCTATATTTTAAAAAAAAAGAGATAATATAATTCAACCTTCAGAAAGGAAGGAAATTCTGACACACTAAATGTGGATGAGACTTAAGAACATTATGCTAAGTGAGTAAGCCAGACAAAAAAGACAAATACTGTACTGTTTGATTGATATGAAGAGGGCATGGAGAGTTATTTAATGGTCCTGCTATGACTTGGATCTGGAAGGTGCCTAAAGGCTCATGTGTTGAAGATTTGGTCCACAACATCAGGAGGTGGGCTTTCGGGAAGTGATTGGATTGGATCATGAGGGCTCTGACCTCATCAGTGTATTAATTCATTTGATGGGTTAATAATCTGAGTGGACTTCTGGGGGGAGGTAGTAACTTAGGCAGTCTCCCCACCACCCCCCCCTTTTTTTCTTTTTGTCTCTTTCTGTATATATTTATCTATCTCTATCTCTGTCTCTCACTCTGCTCCATGGCTGCCATGAGCTGATAACTTTCCTTTGCCATGATGTTCTGCCTCACAAAAGAATGCTTAAGATGGTAAATTCATGTTGTATATTTTACCACC